TTTCAAAAAGTGTGGACTTGCCGTTTATTTTTTATCAGCCGTGTTGAGTCGATCTCCATGTATTCTCCGATAGGGCGGGCCGCCTCCTGGAACCCTGAGTACCACGTGACTCGCGCCGAGCTGCTCAGTCGGCCATCTTGTCGGCGAAGCACGCGGATCAAAGGATTGCGCTACTCTGCTCCGTAGGAGCTATATAGTGCTCTAATTGGAACTAGAGATGTCTCGAACCTCCTTCGGTTCGACTTCGAAAGGTTTTGATCTTTTCAAACTTATCTGAGGTCCGAATTGAAAGTTTTCGATATTTTCGACCGTACCGATGTGCAAATTCGAAAAGTTTTTAACTTTCGAACACGTGAACACCGAAAACCGGTTTCTAAAAGTACGGGTTCGATTATTTCGAATATTTTTTTACCTGAGATCGAGTAATTCAAAGTTTTTGAACTTTCCTAACTGATAAATCGAGAGTTTCAATAATTTTGAATTTCTTGGGATCTGAAGTTTGAAAAATTAGAAGATTTAGAATTTCTTTGAATCAGAAGTTAGAAGATTTCGAATTTCTTTGGATGTGAAATTCGAAAAATTTCAACGTTTAAAATGTTTATAGACAAAGTTGGAAAAATTCTAAGATTTCGAATTTCTTTCTGCATAAAGTTAGAAGGTTTCGATTCTCCAAGTGCGCAAAGTTCGAAGTCCGGTTTTCATGTTCCTCTACAATTTCAGTTTCAAATAGCCTTTTCACGCCTCACTGGTTTTCACAAAATCAGGTTTAAAAAAGTTAGGTGTGACATTTAGAATGCAGAAGTTGGTCAGGCAATTAAATGAGATGACGAGTGTCCCGGATGTGCTGGAATATTTGCCAGTGCAGAGTGACGTCTGGCCATGTAGCAGTAATTGCGACCTCCAGCCCAGGAGAATCTTTAACGTGCGTCACGCAGCAGTGATCACATGAACGCACTCGTACGATACTCCTTCAGTTCGAAACGGCCAGGGGCGGGCAAAAAGTTGAGGCTCAGAAAAACCTTGAAGCGATCTGGCAAGCTACCTCCCCATCCCCTGATTTTCCGGACTGTTAGAGAAAACAATACGGGGAAAGATGCGTGGTTGAGCTCAATCTTTATTTTAATCTGAAATTATATATGCATATGTATAGCTACTGTCGCTCTTCACTTCATAAAAGATTGCGTAGATGATCATTGTTGGAAACTCGTTGGAAGGCACTACTCGCCACATACTTAGTGGTTCGGAAGTTCAAAGCTATGTCTTTTTGACCTACATAACTGTGCCACTGGTAAAAAATAAAAAATCTTAGTTCAACAAGTTCGAAAATTCGAAATCTTTCGAGCCGCCTGATTCTGTCACCGACCCTTCGGTTCGAAAAAAGTTTGCGGCATCCCTGATTGGAACCAAACTGCATGCGTGAGACGAGTATGCGCGTTGCAATGGCTGTAATGTGGTAATGTGGTACGCAAGCCTGGTGTAAAAAGGTGACAGGCAACAAAGTGTGCGTATAAGATGGATATTTATGCTTCGCATAATCTTTTTCTAAAGAAAAACTTGTGCATCCTGTTTTGTGCATGCCGTCACATTTGTTACCAGACTCAGCATTAAATTTGGTTGCCAAAACAAACAAATGTGCTGCGAAATTCCACTATTTGAGAACTCACAGGTTTGGAAGGTTTTGGTTGTGACTGCGCGTGTGCCGAACGGCTATAGACACATACAATTACGAGTGCCGGAACGGGCCAACAGGCCTCTCTCATCTTGAAGGCCTCATCGCCTGATTCTAGGCGGCACAGCAAAGCAACAATCGGCCCGATTGTTTCTACCGTATTTCCTGTGTGGCTGTCTAAGTGACTTGTAAAACAACAGGTATAAATTTGTTATTTTGCCGAGTAGTCTGCAAAACGAGTTCGTCGAACCACTTTCCAAGCCTGCACTTCTATTTTCATTCACTTCAACAATTATTGTAGAATTCACTTGCTTGATGCGTCGCACTGCAGTAATCCATTTCTGTTGCAGTGTCGCTTCCCAAGATCTCGAAGGGAACCGTTGTAGTTTGATGCTTGAGTCACCTTCGTGACTCTGGCAGTTTTTCACGCAGCAGTAGCGACGTTTATTCTTTGGGGGAACTCTAGGAGTAGGCGAGATGTCACAGGAGCTCGGTGAGGTCATAGAGACGTGAAGCCGGGACTTACTTTTAAGAGAAACTGTGCCCAAAAAGGCTCACGCCAATCCGAAATGCCACATTCACACGTTTTTTCTTAAACGCGCCCACCCGCAGCCCCCCGATCTTGGCCGTCCTGGCCCACCGAGTGTCTTATTTTGCAGCCGCTAGATGGCGCAACGTGTAGTGCCAAACTTCATTGCTGGTTAATATTTCAGTAACTTTACTTTCGATGAGGGGAGGGAGTGAAGTAGAGAGATTCATATTATCAAGATTCTGCTGCGTTTGCCTGCCCCCCCTCGCGTACACACACACACACAGTGTCGTTGCCCAAAGCGCCTCTGACTGTATGTTGCAAAACCTAATTTGTTTTGATCTGTATAAAAGAAGAAAATAATTTACTGACAGGGTGACAGTGCTGGTGGGCCTGAATCTAAATATGTACTTGCAGGACGACTTCATTTCATGACTTCTTTATGCAGCATAGCACGACACAGTCATTGATTACGAGTAGTTGCAACGACAAGAGTTGATCAGGTTGCCAGTATCGCATGTGAATGAATACTATCTTAAAGGCGTGATTTCAAAAGGTAGTCTTCATTTATTTAGTGCATAAAGTAGCCTGGCTGTGGCAACATCATAAGCTTAGCATACCACTTTTATAGTAGTGGCCACAGCACCCTCATGTCACCTCCCTAAAAGAACCGCAAGGAAGAGCGGGCACTACCTCCACAATTTTGCGTCCTCACAAATCATAAAACAAGTGAAAGTGATTGGCTGATGGTGTGAAAACCAGCCAATCGCTTTCATTTGTTTTATGATGCATTGCTGAAATCTCACCCTATTAGTAACTGTAGCCTACATTTTGTTTGGGCATATGCATGCTTCCTTCAATTACTACAACAAAGACATGGGGTTGAATGATTTGACTACCTAACATAGCTCCTTAGCATGGGGCTAGATTGATGCTGTGAAGGAATATTGTGCTTTATTTATACTGCATTGCCCGTCATTTGGGATTACGTGGTGTGGCAAACGTTTTCTTTATTAAAGCTACAGTTTGTCCTAAATGTGTAAGCGAATCAAGATCTTGATGTTACTCGTCTCTCTAACCTTCAATTTGCTCTCCTCGGTGCTGCTGTGGCTGCTCCACCTGGTGAGGCTGTGGCCTTTTCTTGGCCACCTCTCTTTGCTGTCCGGGATGCTGAGGTATGTGTCTGGGCCTACAAGGCACTTTGTTTATTGTTTCCACTCCATTGGTTTATTCTGGAGAACAGACTAATGGCACAAAAGACAAGGACACAAACAGGCAGGCACACAAAGAGACAGGTACCTGGCTTAGAGTTGGACTAAAGACGTTTCTGAGATTGTCTGTTCTTGGTGATAACTCATTCGGCGGGCTATAAGGATCCTAAATATCGAAAAATTATGCTCGTTCGATGCCTATTTTCCTACTAAAAATAGAAAAAAAGAAATAAAAGAAGATAGTTCATGTCCTGCCATAGGACGAGAAGGTGCACTATTTTCGAAAAAGTGTACATGCGGGTGAGAGTGACATCAGTGCTATCTGACAGCCGTGTCCCACAAATTACAGTTTAGCAGTGCCAATAATACCTATCCAGGGGTTAGTAAGCTAGTCCGCATCGCTAGTATAGACTAGCAAAGGAGGCAGAGGTGAGACATTTTGATGCCTATTTCTGAACACGGAAAGCGAAGGTAGTGAGCTATGGTGATGGCACACTCATTCATGTTTTTTCTTTCATGTCTTGTCATGGATTGGAGCCCAAAGGTGTTTCTTTCGCATCGCTTGGCTGCCCGAGACTGCACATATTAGTACAAAACATGGGAGTGCACAGCAGTATACTTCCTTTGTACTTTGCGATGCTGCACTTAAAAATTGTCAAATGGTTCATTAAAGGGTACCTAAAATATTATATATGGGAAAAGCTTTTATGAAACAATTTTTTTATATCAATATTAGTATCTTACAGCAATAATGGACCTCCTTTCCGAAGCTGAAATTCCTTCTCTTAAAGCGGCTCTCGGGAGATTTCTAAGGTGACCTATTTATGGCTGTAACACATTCTATGTGCTCTAAGCATCCCAAAAATTTAAAGTTAAATTATGTGCAGCTTATTCCACTAATAAAAATCTGATAAAAGATAGTGAATCTGAGAAGGACAAATGGCACCACTGAACCTGGCCGAATGTAAGCGAGCAACGAACGGGGCTCATCACACAATCACAAAGCGATGGCTTCACGTGCGGACAAGCAGCCGACCAGTCCTGCTCGTCTGCACAGGACGCCCTCGCTTGCAATTGAGTGACGAGTGTCTTTCGCCGTTCCACCCCATTGGCCTTGATTCAATTCAACCATATTCGCTATCTTTGATCACATTTTTAATAGCGAAATAAGCTGCACATGATTGTGAGTTTTGGACTTATGGGATGCTTAGAGCACATAGGTTGAGTTAGGAACATAAATAGGCAATCGTGGAATACTAGGAAATGCCCCTTTAATTTATTTCATGTTTTTATTTATATATATTGTGAGGGCGTTTATGAGAGACGTATTTGATAGTGCAATGTGGGAAGACCAGAGGCGACCAATGGCGAAACAGCCAAATCGCTCTCAGCTCGCGTGGCGAAAACATGCAGCGCGCGCCCCTATTTCCCAAAGATGTGCGTCGTCGTCTTCGTAATAATATGTACAATACAGCATTTCAGTGAAACAAAGCAGGAACATGATTGCAGACAAAAGTGGACAGCCCCATGTGTGTCCTGTATTTCTTCACTTTTTGTGCATTTGCTTGACAATGTGACTCTCTGCAGATTCATCTTGGACCTGGCATCAAAATGCGAGAGGCAGCATTTACACACGCCTTGGAAAAGGCTGCCACTCCTGGCCGCTTTCTCGGAATGGTCAGCCGACCACTATGGGAGCCTGCGGAGCTCTTGGACAGGAGAATGTCAGGGCAAGCCTGCAGGCGTCTCCTCTAGGAGGGTGTGGTGGGAAAGAAGCCCCTAACACAAGAAAAAATTGACGCTCTAACTGGTGGGTATTTTTGATCAACCTGGAAGGGCACAGAATCTGTTGTGGCTGTGCTGTGCTTAGCTCTGCACATAATGTGTGTATAGTGTGAGTTATAATTTACTACGATTTGAGATATTTTTATGGACCTGTTGTTGGTTTTGGCTTGTGCAGCACACATGTACAGTCAGAGGCACTATGAGGTCAGACAAGGTGAATGTGGGCAGACCAGGAGAAATGCCGCATGGGGTACAGCGCTTTCTTTGCACACTGGGAGCGAGGCCACGATGTTCGATCTGCAGTCAAACCCAATATTATCGAACCCGGTTAATTCATACTAATTGTAAATGGACTGGTAGCTGCAATAAAAATGCATAGCGAAAAATGCAATTGCATTGAACGAAAATTGCAGCGTCTCCCCATACATCAATCTGCCAAGAGCGCTGTTTAGCTCTGCAAGCTGATTTTCCCCCAGCGAGAGAATTTTTTCTTGGGGGAAAGCCAGCTTGCAGAGTAAGGTGGCTTTTTTTTTTATTTTGGGCTGTTGCGTCGACCGCCCAGAAGATAAAAAAAAAATATATCTCGGGGGGGAGGGGGTGAGCCGGTAGACGAAGAAGCGGCCACTAAATAGCTGCGGTGAGCGTTCCTCATGACGTACAGATGCCCCTTCGAGAGTAAACTACTTTTCTAAATGTGACGTGCTTGTTCGTTGTCAAAATCATTAAAACTTTTATAGTGAATTGCCCGCTATATCGAAATGGTAGACGGTTTATTGAGAGTTCGATATAGTCGGGTTTGACTGTATTATGTTGCCCACAGGTATGGGAAAGCAGATTGAATGCGGAAGGGCAGGCCGAGTGATAAATTGACTGATTATCAGGCTGGACACGACAGAACTTCCTTGTTTACTGTTGTAATTTTATTACTTTAAGGTTTTTTTTATGAATAACTGCTCGTGTATTTTTTTTATGCACTGTAGGTTTCATCATGCGATACCAACATGCCCAAGCCATCATCTTAGCCATCCAGATGTGCTGGCAAAAACGGCATGGAAGAAAAGAGCCATGGACAGCCCTGTCTGCAAGGGAATGTGTGCGAGTGGTGCGTGTTGGGAAAAAAAATAAAATAGTAAGTTTCATTGTCTTTGTAGTTTTATTTCATGGCAGAATGAACACCTAAACCTTCGAAAAATTGATATTCTTTTTGCACAATTTGCTAGCCGTTGTCATCAGCAGTCCTTTCTGCATCTAAGTTATATTGTGTATGCATGACGAGGTCACCCCAGAAGACACTAGATTGGCAGGGTCACATCAGAACACACTTGACAGGGTCACGTAAAAACATCAGAACACACCGAGACCCGTGTCTGAATTTCTGTTCTGCCTCGTCGTGTTGTCTCTTATCTCAATAAAGTCTAATATATTTTGCGTTGCGATTTCAGCTTTCGCAAAAGCCAGACGTAATAGGGTGCCATGTCTGGACTGTAGGGGAGCTGGTATACCTGGGTAAAACCCAGTACGAGACGTGACGAAATGGCAGATGTATTGTTGTGATGAAGCTGTCAATCACCTATTGCGCGCAACTCCTGCCGTTTTATTCCTATGGCATCTCAGGCGGCGAAAAACTTCCATGTAGTGTACTCTTTATTTATTGTCTGGTCTGAAGGACCATACTCATAATGGACCTAACGTTTATAATCAAAAGGGGTTGTCAACAGTATGTTCGCGTGGCTCCGACTTTTCTGTGCTCTCTTAGAATCTGGAGACCTGGGTGACTTCTATTGGCTTGAGTAAGCTTTTGTTTAGGGTCACAGTTCTTAATCCATTACTCATCTCAAGTTATAACTACGGCTAGGCCGTTGATCGATTAACCTCATGCTTTCATCTTGGTTATTTTTCAAACAGTTAATCGGTAAAATTTTGATGAATCAAAAGAAAGTAAAAATTAAATGTTCCAACCACGCAGACGTGGACGAGTACACCTGTATAAACGGCAAACTTTAGGGAAAAGTTTAACCTAATGTAAACTCTATGGGTGATATTTGTAACTCAAGACGGATGCAGAAGGTTTCAAGCGTGCCGGCCACTTCAATGCCATGCGAGTGTCCGTTTACCGCACCATAGACTATTGTGAATAATCAGAGGAAATCACTCTATTACCAGAGAGTATGACTGAACCTCTTGGCCTCATACAGCTGAAGTAAGAATCTGAGTGTGTGTGTCGTTCAACTGTTCTCAACTACACCAAGGTTGGTTCATAATCAAAAATCTCTTTGCATCGTTTATCACAAATTCAGCAGCAAAAAAAAATGGATTTTTAGAGCGTTCGGCATGAAAATGAACGAGACCGATTAATCAATAAAAGGCGGCGATTAATCGGGTTAAAATATTTAATCGACGCCCAGCTTTAGTTATAACTTTCTTTAGGATCTGGATTGTTGTTGGTTTAAATCAAGTTCTATGCAACTTCAGCACGAAAATCATTCTGCTTTTGTGACATAAATTAGGGTGAGGAAGAAAAATATTTATAAAATAACATGCCTCTATAGGTACCACCTGGAAAGGCACCACCGATTGAATGCCTATTTTGATAGAAAAGAATAGGATGGCAATCCACCAATCCTGTGACAGAAACTGCACAATGAATTTTTTTTCACCTCGCGTTTTATGCTTAAATCCTCCATCCTAACTTCTGAAAGTGTTGTCTGTGGAATCGCCACGTCTCCCAATTCTCTCACTGTCATCCGGCAGTTATTGTTGATAGTAGCTCACGTGCACTTTAAGTTGCCAGGTATTCTGGCTATGAAGGGCCTTGTGGAGCATGCATCCCTGTCAATGGCATGCCGACCATCTCCGGAGTGCTCAATGAATTGTACCTGAAAGTGTCCGGTAATGAATATTGAAGTATAAAAGTCTGTAATATCTGATCAACTCGCTAAGTCATAGTAAATCTGATGATCAGACAGTGCTTCACCTCAATCAATGGCATCTTGCTGCCGACTGAGTGGCAGAAAGGTAAAGTGATTGTTCACGCATGTGCGGAAGGGTCCCGACTGTTGGCCAATTGACGTTGGAGCCGCGCCCCGGGTTAGCAAGACAAAAAAAATCACTGAATACTTTACGAACAAACTTTATAAGCTCTAGTTTTAGGTGCCAGGGAGCTATCTACCTGGATATAAGCAAAGAGTGGAAAAATGAAAAGCTGCTCATGTTGACCATTTTGTTTAGTACACTTCACTGCAATACAGAGATGCTTTGTGGGGAAACTAATGTCATGATTTTCTCTACATTGCAGAATCTTTTTGAATAACATATTCATTTTAGATAACGTAAGGGGCACTAACCCCATGGTTTTGCAAAAAAAAAAAATAATGCAGCTCGTATTTTTTTTATTTTCTTAAGCACACTTCATTGCAATACAGAGTGCTTTGTGGGGAAATAAGGTCATGACTACATCTACATTGTAGACTGTCATTTTCGACAACATAAGTGGCAGTAACCATCTGGTTAGTGCCCCTTATTTGTTTTAGATGACAAAAGGAGAACTAAACCCTCATTTTGCGAATGAAGCAATAAAATACTGTTCCGATTTTTTTTTCTCACTTTGTCGTGCATACTTTCTCGCAACACAGGTGTGCTTTGTGGGGAAACTAACGACTTGGCTACCACCTTATTGTAACTGTAGATTAAGATGACATAAAGTGTAGTCCTGCTTTTTCCAACTGTTAATTGAAGCTAGAAAAGCTATAAATTATTTATTTTTGTGAAAACAAAACTTGTAAGCTTGGTATTACTGCTTTGGCCCCACTTTTTTCCTAAGATAATTAACAGATTCCTACTCAGTGGCACAACATACATGACATCAGTTTAAACTCCAACAAGAATATCAATGATTGGGTTGATAATAAGAACGGAGGATTTTCAAAGCAGAATACTAGGCTAGGGGTGGCCAAACTGCGCCTCGCAACCACATGCGGCTCTCTCAGGTTCCAAGTGTGGCTCACGACTTCCTGGTAAGCATGCTCAGGCAAGAAAGAAAAAAAGGTATCAAATAAGACAGCTTGCGTTGTGGCAACCTTGTGCCAACATGCCTATGCTGCCATGAGGCACTTTTTTCAATAATGGAGGAGGTAAAATTAGAATAGCAAGCACGACCCTGACGTACAAACACCTAGCTGAGCTCCTAGATTTTTGTGCACCCTCTTCCGGCATTGCTGGAACCTGTCTGCCAATAATAGTACAATAACAATAACAGGACAGCTGTAGTGGTCAATAAAATATGAATGCAATTGATATAATTGAAATGTGTTGCAATGCTGGAAAACTAAATTCTTTCACAGGGACCAAATGGTAAAAGTTTCTTGAAATAATGACTGCAGCAGCTAGGAAAGTCAGACACTGACCATTAACAGCCCCATTATTCATAACATTGTCAGTGGCATGGAGTCTATAAATATTTGTCTTCCATTGTGATCAATAACGAAATTTACTTTGAGGCGGGTTTATATTATGACACCACTACGGTGTAGCAGTAACATTGTTCGTAGACCCTACTACAATATTTCAATATTAATATCTGATGCCTATGCATTTTCACTAATTGACGAGTTTTGAGCAATTGCTAAGAAAGTGTTTTTGCCATATCTATGCAATGAATTAGCCAACTGGGCTCTGATAGAAGAAAAAATAGCTGAACAGGCAATGTCAGGATGAAAAAATGGCTATACTCGGATTAACCTCACAGCCCCATCTTCTATGATATGAGTATGTTGGAGCCTCAGGGTCATGACCCACTTCATTGACAATTGTTAAGCTCAATTTATTCGAAACACAATACCTTAGGTCGCTAATGAACATACTGAATGTTTCTACAATCTGAGTTGATTATTCAAATCCTTCATTACTGCAACTCATTAAGCAAAGGATTTGCAAGTAAGAAGCCACTAAACCCTAGCTATTGCTATATTTATTGCATGTTGGTTGTTGTGATGATCCGACAGCAATAATAAAACAGAAAAGCAACATCAATGAACAGATTTCGAGTTTTATTGAATGAAGAAGTGTACAGGTAGAAACTGAGAGAGAGGAGGAGATGAAAGCGAGCGGGCATGTCAGAACACCAAGCTCTGGTTGGAATGATTAGTGGGTAGAGGCAGAGCCTTTGTCTCTACTCACTGTTTGAAAGCGAGCACAGAACATTAGACGCCGGTGTTTGGCATTCGAATGCATGCAAACAGTGAGCACGGTTTTGCATCTACCCACTAATAATTCAAACCAGAGCTCAGGGTTCTGACGTACCCACGTGCTCTTTTCTCCTCCCCTTCCTCAGCTTCTACCTGTACAGAACAAACTTTGAGGAGCAGTGTTAATTACTGATTGAATTTTTCGCATTCTTTTTGTAGTAGTTTTAGTTTCAGGATTTCTTGATCTCGTTGGAGTGTAAGGATACCAATTTCTAATCTTTGTCTTTCCATGTCAAGCATTCGTTTTTCCTCAACGGCCTTTGTCTGGGCCTCTAGCAAGCGAACTTTTGCCTCAGCCACGCGGTTATATATGGCTGTGGCATCGGCAGCAGCGGAGCTTCTCCTCACGGGCCTGTTGGGTCCCTGTTGAGGCTGTGTCTGTGTGCAGGGCATCACTCCAGAGGCCACAGGACTACTTCCAGGAGCTGGAGTCACTGGCGTCTGCTCCTGCTGGTCACTGTCCTGAAATCATAGATGCTTTTGCACAATGGTACTGCAACAAAATATTCTATTGAAAACCCAGGTTAAGGGATGGTGCCAACTGTGGGATTATAAAATAGCACAAATATTATTGCTTAGCCAAAGCGAACAAAATAATTTATTCTATTTTTGTGCAATAGTGAGCAGACCATCACGCTGCCACCGTGTTTCTCCTCATGTGAGCAGGTACACACAATTGCAAGCCTGTCAGATCTATGTGCATATATGCTGCATGTGCTTGCACACTTGGGGCACCAGCCATGATGCAATGTGCTTAGAATACTGTATAAACAGGCAAGTGCTAGAATTATCATTCGTATTATAAAAACAGTGGTACTTGGCCACTTTGAAATAATAGATATTGGTGAAATCTGGTGCTGACAAGAATTGATAGGCCACACCAAACAAAGCCGGGCTT